CCATCCCAGAATGAATACTTCACCCTCCAAAACTCCATCTACAGAAATTTTGGAGTCATCACTGATTCAGTGGCAGCCCCTATCAAATAGAGTGTGAATTAAGAATCAGACTTAGAGCCCAGGCCAGGCAGTGCAGTTGGCTGAAGCGTCATCCCATGTACCAAGGGGTTTCCAACTCGATGCCCGGTCAGGGCACGTACCTAGCTTGCGGGTTTGATACCTGGTTGGGGTGAGTACAGGGGGCAACTGATGTTTCTCTCTCTTTTTCTCTCCCCCCTTCTTCTCTCTCTAAAATCAATAAACATATCCTTGGGTGAGGGTGAAAAAAAAAAAAGAATCAAACACGGATACTGAGAATTTAGAGGAAATAGCAACTTTTAAAAAAAAAAAAAATCTTTACTGATTTCAGAGAGAGGAAGGGAGAGGTGGAGAGAGAAACATCAGGATGAGAGACTCATCATTGATCAGCTGCCTCCTGCAAGCCCCCTACTGAGGACCAAGCCTGGGCATGTGACCTGACCAGGGATCCACCAAGATCTCCTGGATCCTAGGTCCATGCTCAACCCCTGGGCCATACCCGGCCAGGAGAAATGGTAACATTTTAGTACTGTGAAGTGTGTCCCCTCCCTGCTGCCTTATCTGGTGTTCATTTTATAGGTTAGCTACTTTTCTTGGAAGCACTATGGCAAAGGGAGGAAGAATGTCTCTCAGATTTCAGCTGTGAGTTCAGCTTGCTAGTACTGGACTAGCACTTCTGAATTTCCTGGGATGCCAGGCCCTGTGGCTTTCTTGAGAAGCACTGCAGCACCCCCAACTCCCCACCTTCTTTAACACCCCTCTTTTTACCATCCCTGGGCTGCTGGACTCTGGAGCTACCCAGATGTGCAGCCCAAATCCTGCTTCATTGTGAGGAGGGAGGGGAGACCCAGAGAGAGGTAGTTGCCTTTTTTGCAGGGGAAAAGGACTACTTGGTCCCTGGTGATTCTAGTAAAAAGGCTTGCTCTTCTGCAGTCACCCTCAGCCCAAGAGTAATAAAGGTTGCTTAAATTAAGGTTGGAACCTAGGGCGGGAGAGGGGTGCTTGGTTGCTAAGGGACACATGCATGACATGGATGCCAATTGTGACAAGGCTGCCTATTGTGACATAGCTGCCAATTGTTGGGCTCCCGCTCAGTGCATGGTGCCAGCATCCCACTTGCCTGAGTGGCTGGCTGTGCCCTGGACATCTGCCTGTCATGTCTGCACTGCACCTCTGGGTTCCATGGCTCCTGTTCATGTGGCAGCTGCTGTGGCTGCAGGTCCAGGCAGCTCAGCCTCTGGAGTTGGCCCTGGACCTTGTCCTGATGACCTCTATCCTCCCATGTCCCACCGAGCCCTGGCCTTGTGATCAGCAAAACCCTTCTGAAATGGTTGGACTTGAGTCATTCCAACAGGAAGCCTCAACTCTGCCTACACAAGCCCTGGAGAAAATGGAACCTTCTCCAAGCCCTCAGGAGGCTTCAGCTCAGCTTCTACCCCAAGAAGCCCCAGCTCCATCTACAGTGTCCTCTGAGCCGTTGAAATTTTTGTCAGTCCACCAAGAAATTCCAGATCAGCATCCACCCTACCCTGAATATGTTCAATCTTCAATCCAGCAGAGGAGCTCAGCCCTGACTCATGTGTGTCCAGCCGGCGTACAACCTTCTCCGGTCCAGCAGAAGGTTCTAGCTCAGCCTCCAAAGTCCTCTATGGATATCGTAGCTCAACCTTCAGCACACCATGAGGTGACCGTTTCACCTCTACATTCAGGTGAAGTTCAGCATTCAGTGTTGCCTATTATCAATGTTAAAGATGTGGATCTGGGGGTTTTGATGACTTCACAGCCCTCTAAGAAGATTGAACCACCTGCAACTGAGAAGGAGGTCTTAGTTCATTCTCCAAAGTCCACTGAAGAGGTCAAGCCTCCATCCCAGCAGGAGACCCCAGCTCAGCCTACTTCAGAGGCTGATGCTACAGCCCTGCAGCAGACTACAGCTTCTCCAAAGCACCCTGAAGTGACACTTCCACTTCCAGAGCTTGTTCAGGCTCAGCAGCCAACGCTCTCTGAAATTGCAGTCCAATATGTGAACCTGGGGCTCACCATCACTCCCAAACCTACTTCAGAAGCTGATGCTACAGCCCTGCAGCAGACTACAGCTCCTTCAAAGCACCCTGAAGTGACACTTCTGCTTCCAGAGCCTGTTCAGGCTCAGCAGCCAATGTTGTCTGAAGTCACAGTTCAGTCTGTGGACCTGGAAGTTGTCAAAACTCAGCATCCAGAGTCATCTGAGACAGTTCCTCCAATGACTGAACAGAGTGCTACTGTGAACATATGTGAGCTCTGTACTTGCAGTAATGGGACACTGTCTTGTATTGGTCTAGGCCCAAAGCAGAGACTTCACAGAGTGCCTGTGCCAGAGCCCAACACCTACAATGGCACCTTCACCATCTTAAACTTGCAAGGAAACTCTATTTCTTACATTGATAAAGATACATGGAAGTCATACCACGTGGTTGAGAAACTAATTCTCAGTGGAAACAATTTGAGAGAATTACACAAGGATTCATTTGAAGGCCTGCTGTCCCTCCAGTATTTAGATTTATCCTGCAATAAAATACAATTTATTGAAAGTAATACATTTGAATCACTACCTTTTTTGCAATATCTAAATCTTAGTCACAATTTAATCACAGAACTGAGCTTTGGAACGTTTCAGGCCTGGCATGGAATGCAGTTTTTACACAAGTTGTCCAGACTGATGGAATCTAATGAACAAAATAAACTGATGAACAAAATAGAACCAGAGACATGGATACATGGAACTGACTGACAGAGGTCAGTGGGGAGAAGGGTGGGAAGGACTGGATGAGAAAAGGTGAAGAGGTTAGCCAAAGGACATATATGCATAGCCCATGGACACAGACGACAATGCAGTGAAGGCCAGGGGGTGGGGGTGGAAGCTGGGTGAAGGTGGGCAAAAAAGAACAACAAAAAGAAAAAAAATAAAGTTTGATAATGGAAAAACCTTCTTGGTCTGTGTGGGTTTTCTTTTTGTTATGTGCCACTGACACATCATAATAAAAAATAATAAAAACATAAAGTTTGAATATAATATATAAAATCCTGGCATAAAAATTGTTTGACAAACTCATTATCAACATCATTAGAGAAGAACAAATAGAAAAACAAACTCAAACATAAACAGCAGAGTTCCAAATGATTTTTTTACATTCTTATAGTTTTGCTAATCCTATTGTTTTAAAAGTGAAATCAATGTGTGATCATCTTACAGAGAGACATGCCCATGTATTATCACTTGTTTATATTATATACAAGATATATAGCCCCCATTTGATTTGCATGTCATAAAGACAGCTAAAGTTGACCTAATTATGTGAGTTTAGATCAGTATCTCCCCAAATAGTCCTCTTCTTACCTTCCTGTTTATCAGAATCATTATCATTTGTCCATGAATCGAGATTAAAAATCTGAGTTTCATCTTTGACCCCACCAGTCTTAGCTCAAGCTGTCATAATAAATAGTATAGACTGAGTGGCTTAAACAATAGAAATTTAAATTTATTTCTCACAGTTTGAAGGCTAAAAAAACCTAAGATCAAGGTGCTGGTAACGTAGGTTTTATTATGAGACTTCTTCTCTTGGCCACCACCCTTCTTGTTGTGTGCTCACAGGGCCTCTTTGTGTGTGAAGGGATGGTGGGGGGAGGGGAGAGAGAGTAAGTTCTCCAGTGTCTTTTATTATAAGGCTCCATCTTCATGACCTCACCTAACCCTAATTACCTCTCAAAGACCCCTGTCTCCAAATTCCATCACATTGGGGTTAAGGCTTCAACATATGAATTTTGGGGAGTGACAACAAATATTCAGCCTGTAACATCTCCCTTGTCTTTTCAGCCCCCGGGTTTTGTCATGTCTTTCTGTGTGATACCTCGTTCATCTGCCCTTTTTCACTCTGATTGTGAACATTTGAACTCAGGACTCTTACTATTTCATGCCTGGGCTGCTGCAAAAGCTTTTTAATGGTATTTGGCCCTAAAATTACTTATCTTTAATCCATCATGATTACAGTTAGTTCCCAGGTCAGTCTTCCATATTGTGTCAGTGCCTGGCTGAAAAATGTCAGTGATATCCAGTTGTCTATGGGTAAGGTGAGACTGCTTAATTTGGCCAATGGCTTCCACAAGGAGTTCAATGATTTACCTTTTTTTGTTTGTTTTAGCAATGTAGATTTATTTAATCCTTTTATTATCTGTATAGTTTTCACTATATAACTATACCACATTATAATACCAGATTCTTCTCTTCATATGCATTTAGTTTATCTCCAGTTTTCATTTGCTAGTCAAGAAAAGTTTAACGAATGTTCTGGTACCTGTCTCCTGTGGTGTATCTTCTGAAAGTTTCTTTTCTTTCTTTCTCTTTTTGTATTGTCACTTTAATGTTATCACTTGACAAACAATGCTTCTAAATTTTCTTTTTAAAAAACAAAATTGAGACGTATTTGACATATAACATTATATAATTTCAGGTGTACAACACAATGATTTGATATTTGTATATATTGCAAAATAATCACCACAGTAAGTCTAGTTAACATCCTTCACCAATATAGTTAGAAATTTTTTTCTTGTGATGAGAACTTTTAAGGTTCGCTTTCTTAAAACTTTCAACTATACAGTGCATACTGTACATTATATCCCTATGACTTATGTATTTTATTACTGGAAGTTTGTACTTTTTGACCACCTTAACCCATTTCAGCCACTCCTTCACTACTCCATCTCTAGATACCACCAATCTGTTCTATCTATGGGTTTGATTTCTTTACTTACTTTTATTAGATTCTACATATAAGTAAGATCATATGGTATTTCTCTTTCTCTGACTTATTTCACTCAGCATAATACCTTTGAGGTCAACCATGCTGTAAAAAATGGCAAAATTCCCTTCCTGTTTTTTCTTCTAGGAATTTTTTTGTTTTGGGTCTTGTGTTCAAGTTTGTAATCCAATTTGAGTAAATTTTTGTGTATGGGGTAAGATAGTGGTCCAGTTTCATTCTTTTGCATGTGGTTGTCCAGTTTTCCCAATGCTATTTATTGAAGAGACTATCCTTTCTCCATTGTATAGCCTTGGTTCTTTTGTTATAAATTAATTGACTAAATATGTGTGGGTTTATTTCTGGGCTCACTATTTTTTTCCATTGATCTATGTGTATATTTTTATATTAATGCCATACTGTTTGGATTAATATACCTTTGTAATATAGTTTGAAGTCAGGATGCATGATGCTTCCAGGTTTGTTTTTTTGAAGATTGCTTTGACTATGTGGGGTCTTTTGTGGTTCCATACAAATTTTAGGGTGTTTTATTTCCATGAAAAATGCCAATGACATTTTGATAGGAAATGTATTAAATCTGTAGATTTCTTTGAGTATAATGGACATTTTAACAATATTAATTCTTCCAACCCATGAATACAGAATATCTTTCCATTACTTTGTATCTTCTTCAGTTTCTTTCATTAGCATCTTATAGTTTTGAGAGTACAGGGCTTTCACCTCCTTGGTTAAATTTATTTCTTAGTATTTTATATTCCTTGATGCAGTTGTAAATGTGGTTGCTTTCTTAATTTTTTTCTGATAGTTTGTTAGTGTATAGAATAGCAACAGATTTTTGTTGATTTTGTATCTTGCAACTTTACTGAATTTGTTTATTCTGACAGATTTTTGGTGGAGTCATATCACCTGCAAAGAGTAACTGTTGTTCTTCTTCCTTTTTGATTTGGATGACTTTTATTTCTTTTTCTTGCTTAATTGCTCTTGTTAGAACTTTCAATATTATGTTGAATAAAAGTGGCGTATTGTCTTTTTCCTGATCTTAGAGAAAAAGCTTTCAGCTATTCATCTCCTTTCAGCTGTGAACTTGTCTTATATGGTTTTTATTTTTTCCCTTTCTATCCACTTTGTAGAGAGTGTTTATTATAAGTGGATATTGAATTTTGTCAAATATTTTTTGAAGTAACTTGTTTTCAGTAAAATAAATTGTTGATTGCTGTTTCCCAAGACTGTAATGCCAATACTATCTAGTATTTCCTCATTTTTATTAATACAGAAAACAGTATTTCTAAACATGCCTTCCAGTGGTAATTTACATTTGCCTAGGCTAAATTTTGTGGTGAAATTGTATAAATACATTAAAACTAAATGGATGCATTGCTGTATTCTGCTTTTAGGACTATTGGGTAGGTTTTAAAATAGGTGAATTAGAAAAATGTCAGTATATGATATGCTTTCACTTCCAGACCAGGGACAGCAATATTTAAGGAATTAGGAACTTATTAGCACCAGTGCTTCCCGGTTAAACTTGACCAATATAGTTACCTTGTGGGTCAAAAGACTGAACTGCTTATTAGCACTCCATTGTTTACGTGGTTAGAACATGTGACTAACAGGGATCATTGCTTTCTTACATACATCCACAACATGTAAGATATCTTCATGGTACTTTATTCGTCAATATTATAACTTTACCAAAAAGCTGTCAACTTGCTTCTATTTATTCCTTCAATAGAAAAAGCTCTTGCTGCTTTTGCTACTGGTTCTTTGTGCTTCCTGTTTTCTTTGCAAATGCTTGTTTCATGATTTTTTTACTTAAACTGAAAATGGCTTTTAAGAATGTAATTTTCAGTCTCATTCTTAGTATTTAGAAGATCTGTGCCAATCTCTCTTTCTACCTTCCAGGCTCCATTTTCTGAAACAATGGCAAATGCTTCGTATGCATCTATGTACTTTAAAGACTCCAGTAGCAGTTAATCTCCAGCGGTGAATCAGACCAACAATTTTGCTTTAGAGTCAAATGAAATAAACAGTAGAAGTGAGACGTTTGAAGTGAATGTCACGGTTTTGGGGGTGGCTATATGTTAAATGAACTTTTTCATGACTTGCTGGCTCTTACTGAGCAGAACATTAGGGCCTATCAATTCTATGTGTTTGCCGCTAGCATTGGTGCTCAGGGACACCTGCCAATGTTTGCTCTAAGAGAAGCTACTCTGATAGTTTTAAAGAAAAAAATAGTGTCTAAAACATGTGATATTCTTTCCCCCTTTATTCAGCAGAACTAACTTGGAAATGAGTAAGAGATATATTGTGAATTATGCCCTATTACTCAGACAGAGGATGTCCTGTAACACCTAGAATTTGCCCATGCCTTATGACAGGCATTTTTGAAATAGATTTGACAAGGTGGTTTTCCAAGGATGGCATGTAACATAAAGTGATGTGATGAAAAGCCTAAGCCACGGATACACTGAAGTTAGATGTTGGTTCTGGAATTAGTATTCCTATCCAAAAATATTGAAGAGGAAAAGTGAGAGTTCTGGGCTCCTAAACACGGACACCATGCTTTTCAGTGTCCTCACGGCACTAATTTAATTTGAGAAGAACTCAATGTGTTTGTATGTGTGTTAATTAAGTCAAGATTCTAGAAGTCTGGGACAAAAGAACTATTTAAGTCATTTACAGAGTTAAAGTGATTTTTTCTAAGAAAAGAAACAGTAACTTGAACTATTTGCTAAAGCCAATGCTTTTTAATGAGGAAATTCTTGAAAGGCTAATTACTTAGCTTTGGGCCAGGTAATGTAAGTTAGCTCTCGGGGCTCCTTAGACGGCATCCTACAGGTTGACAGAGCTGAACTGTCAGATCATATCTTAGGGCAGCCACACGCTTCA